GCCCCTGGTGGCTGGTCTGGTGCATCGTGACGGTGCCAGGGCTGTTTAAGACCTTGTGTCCTTGCATCGCGGTGCCGGGTCCACGCGTACGTCCCAGACCCCCCCACCGGCAAAGACCCCAGTCATGCATGGCCTGCCTGCACTCGAGCCTGGATGCCCCGCAGGCAAGGGCTGCTCCCCTCCCAGCACATGCAGGCCCAGCAGCGGCCCAGGGACCTGCCCCGATGCCAGCGCCCCGGCTGCCCGGGGTAAAGCACCAGCCTTGGGAAGAGAGCAGCAGCGGCAGCACTGTGGCTGCTGCAAGGAGGCCATGGGCAAGGGGAGGACAAATGTGCGCACACAGGCTGAGCCACCTGGCAGCAGGGCCTGAGCCCCGGGTTGGGAATTGTGGAGCATGGCATGGGGGCTGGAGGAGTCCTGGTGCCTGCCCTGGCTGAGAAGGGCAGCCAAGCACCCAGGGGATACTCCAGACCCAGCTCTGGCAGGGGGAGGCCCCATGACCCCAGGGCCAGACCCCCAGGATGGCAGCAGCAGTGGGAGCAGGGCCCCTCCCTGGGACACAGGTGGCACAGGGGTTGCACGACCTCCACTAGAGCACGGGGACAAGGCAAGGCCCAGCGAAGGCAGCGGGTGAGAGGGCCGCGCACAGCAGTGACGAGGCAGAGGCAGCTATGCGGACGGGAACGTTTATTGGACTACAAAACACTGGTGCAGCTGGGCCAGGCTGCCCCAGGCCACGTGGGACCTGCCAGCCAGGGCCCCTACACCGTGGCCCCTCTGGCTGGCTGGGGGCATCAGCACAAAGGGATTGGGGAAAGGCCCCGGGGCTCTGCCAGCCGCCTGCCCAGTGTGGCAGGTGCCAGGGGGCAGAGGGCTCTGCCCGCCAGGCCATGGCCACAGGGAGAGCAGAACAGCTGGCCCGGGGGCCGCCTTCCCCTCTGGCGGCCGTGGGCAACAGCTCTTGGGCTGGCTCAAGGCCATGCCGGGCCAAGCCCCCACCCCCTCCGCACAGCGCCTGAGCAGTGACCGTGTGCCAAGCGTCCCCGCAGGGCAAGAGGCCAGGGCGGTGATGCCGGTGCAGCTGTGGCCAGGGCTGGGCCGTGGGGAGCGTGGCCCTCACGACTACACGTGGAGGGAGGTGGCCGAGCGCTGGTGGTGCCAGTCGCGCAGGCGGGTGTAGCGCGGGCTCTGCAGCTCCGTGAAAAACTTTTCTCTGAAAGGAAGGAAGAAAGGACAGACAGACAGGGAGAGACAGACGGACAGGGACAGAGCAGGGAGGAGAGGTCAGAGCGAGAGGAGAACAAGGCAGAGAGAGTTGGCAGCAGGGTCAGGCACGGCCGGAGCAGGAGGCAGCTCCATGCCCACGGGGGCAGCCAGGACCGGCTCCCCCAGGCTCACGCCACAGCCTGGGGCTCCTCGGCCCCCGCCCTTACCTGGACTTTTTAGCAAGCTCGTCATCAGGGTCTTGCACTGAGCAGTGAGCGGAAGAGAAAGAACAGCAGAGTCAGAGTCAGCCGGAGGTGCCTGAGCCCCGCGGCCAGGGGCGAGGGACGGACCCCGCAGGGACCACCATCCCGCGGTGCTGGGAGGGTGGGCGGGCCACGGCGCAGGGCACCGGTGGGGAGGGCAGAGCCCTCTGGGCCGGCTGAAGGCGTGCGTGGTGCCAGCGTGGGCAGGAGCCAGAGGCACTTACTGAACTCTGTGCCCGTGAGCTGGGCCAGGATGCGGAAGGAGCGGGATTGGGTGGTGCCAGTGCGGGGCCGCCAGTCCTCCGTGTCCTCAATCAGCCGCTTCTTGCTGGAGTCGCTGTGGGGGACGCCCGGGGGGCTCTCCAGCCGCAGCGAGTGCCTGGGTAGACAGGGCAGGGTGCTCAGCCCCTGCCCGCAGCACCCCAGCGCTCCTACAAGAGCACCTGGCCCAAAGCCAAGGCACCAGCACCCCACGACCCCCGAGCACAACACCCTGCCCCGGCCAGACCCCAGCAACCAGCAGCACAGCCCTGCCTTACTTGTCCTCCAGGTAGGACTGGCCCAGGGTGCTCAGGGGGTCTTCATGGGCCTGAGCTCGCACCTCCAGGGGGTGGGCACTGACCCTGCAGGGCCAGGAAGTCAGACAGACAGACAGGCAGGCAGAGAGAGAGAGGGAGGCATGGCAGGAGAACGAGAGCAGGAGCCTCATGGAAAGGAGAGGAGAGGAGAGGAGGTCCCAGCCCCTGGAAACCCCACCAACTACCCCAGAGAAACCCCCCAGCTGCACCTGTCCCCGCCAAACACGGGCACGGTGGCCCCAAGGAGCTGCGCTCTGCCCAGGCCCAGGCCCAGGCCCAGGCCCAGCCCCAGCCCTGTGGCCCCGCAGGGGCAGAGCCCAGGCCAGTGCAGCACAGACGCCTGCTCCAGGCCTGGACAACCACTGCACATGGGCCCCCTTAATGGTGGCAGCAGCAGCAGGGCCCCTGAGCACACCACACCTCTCCCCAGGGCCAAGGCCAGCTCCTGCCCCCGCGTGGGGCCAGTCAGGACCCAGATGAACACGGATCCCCGGACAGAGGCAGTGCTGGGCAGGCAGAGCCCACAGGCCAGTTCCCACCAAGCCACGGGCTCCGCTCAGCAGGGCCGGGCTCCAGGGCAGGTCCCCAACAGAGCAAAGGGCAGCGAAGGGCATGCAGGAGAGAGCAGGCAGAGGCTTACTGACTTGTCAGGGCTGTGCACCTGCAGCAGACGGGAGGAGAGAGGAGAGAAGACAGAGGAGAGGTTAGCCCGGACCGCAGGGAGTATCGCAGCAAAGCCCGGAAACACGCCGCCCCACAGAGCCCGCCTGGCACCAGCACCATCCAGGAGGGGCACAACCCCTTACTGCTCCGCGCACCCCAGCAGGCCAGGGTCAGGCCCTGCCAGAGCCAAGCACCACATGGAGCCTGGCTCAGCCGTCCCCATGCTCCTCACTGCATGGACACTGGCTGGGGACGGCTGCAGAGCTGAACCCCCTCGCTGCACACGGTCGTACAACCCTGTCCCTGCTCCGGGGCCGCAGGAGCCTCCTGGCGCGAGCGGACAACGGCGCAAGCCACGTGACCAGAGACCCAGTCCCAGCCGCCCTCCTCCGGCCGCGAGGTCTACACCTGGCTCGGATGCACCAAAGCCCCACTGCAGGCCCAGCGAGGACGGCGGGAGTCCTGGGCAGGCCCCAGAGAAGCCGGCAGCAGCCGCCCAAGCCGTGGCCCCAGACGCACTCCCCAGGCACAGACGCACGGCGCCCCCCACTGGACGGTACTGCAGGGCCGGCAGCAGGCCGTGCACACGCTGACAGGACCCTGGGGCACCCTGGCCCCGGCAGGCGGGGGGAGCTCAGACCCTGGGCGCAGAAGTTGGCGGGCAGCAGCATCTCTTGCAGTGCAACACCAGCACCAGCCACCAGGGGGCACTGGACACCGCAGGCACGGTGGGGTGGGGTGGGGTGGGGGGCGCACACGGGCACGGGTCCAGCATGCAAGGCCGTGGTGCGAGGGCAAGCCCAGGCCGGGCCAGGGCACCTGGGGGGCAGCGTGATGGACAGCAACGTACCCATTGTGCTGCGGGGCGCTGGCAGGCGCCAGGGGCGTGTACGTCACGGGTTTCGTCACTGGGGCGGCGCCGGCCCCGAAGGGCCGCGCAGTTTTGTTGAGGGCGGAGCTGGGCGCAAAGCTGTATTTCAGGGGCTCAGAGTGGGGGGGGGCATCCTGAGCAGGAGACAAAACATGACAGCGGCTGGCGACGCGGGCAGTAAGCGTGGGCACAGGTGTGGGGCACCGGCTCGGGTACAAGGCCATATAGGATGTGCCCAGCCCCAAGTGGCTCTGCAAGGCGATGCCCCCACCTCGGGGTCAGACCCTGCATGGGCAGTTGGGGGGGCCTGGGAGCTGCACAAGTGCGACACGGCAGCAATAGGAAGCCAGGAGCAGCCATGCAGGGCAGCGCAGCCCCTGTCCTTGCCCGCAGGACGAAACCAAGCTCACCCGGTGCTCGCAGGCAGCAAGCAGCTGTGGCAGCCGGCGGGTGCCCAGGCCTTGCACCACCAGCCCCACGAGTGGAGCCATGGGAAGCTGCCTGCCACGCCTGGTCCTGCCAGTCAGGTCTCCCGGTGCCCCCCAGCCCGCCCGACAGCCCCTCGCAGCCCTAGCGCCACGTACCTTCTGTGGCTTCCCCACGAGGTTCTGGGCTCTGCAAGAGAAGAGACGGAGCCCAGGTGAGCAGCAGCCGCAGGTGCTCTTGCAGCCTCAGCACCACGGCGCCCAGCGTGCAACACTCTACCCTGTGCCCTGGACACAGGCAGCCTTGCTCTGCGAAGCCACCAGCTGGACCCAGCGAGGGCCAGACACAGGCTCCTGCTTGAGCCACATCCGGGTGGGATGCCCCAGGCCTGGGCAGTGCCCTGGGCATACAGCCGCGCTGGGTGGTGGGGGCCCAGCTGATGGGGCTGTGGCAAAGGGACCTCCACAGCCTCCCATGGACCAGCTGGCTACTACCAGCAGCAGATGCACACACGCCTGCAACTTCCCATAGGCATGCTCCTGCCACCCCTGCACCAGGCCACAGCACCCTGGTCCCCACCGTACCCTGCTCATGCCCAGCCCAGCACCCCCCACCCGTGCCCCGCAGGGGAATGCCCGGGCTGGCACCTGCTGAGGCTGAGGCTGAGGCGGTCGCCACAGGCGCGGATCCTGTTCTGCGCCTCGATGTGGGTCAGGGCGCTAGCGTTCTCGCCGTCGATGCTCAGCACCCAGTCGCCCACGCCCACGCCGGCCTGCGCCGCCTTCCCACTGGGTGTCAGCTGCCGTGGGCACAGAGGGAGAGAGTCAGGCGGGCAGTGAGCAACGCTGCCCCGTGCCCCAGGGGAAGCCAAGTGCCCACACTGCTGCCCTGGCTGATGCTGGGGGCACTGGGCGGGGCCCGTTGGGGCAGGTACCTACTCCCAGTCCCCCCCTCCCCCCCAACACATCCTGGGGGCTTTTTCCTGGCCTGTGGCCCGGGCCAGGCCCCACCTTGGCGCAGAGACCAGGTGCCCCCTGCGGCTCTGCCGGCCGAGACAGGAGCAGCTCCGTCCCTGGGAGCCGGGCGTGAGTCAGAACTTCGCCGTCCCGGCGCAGCCCATGCATCAGGCCCGGGCCTGTCGGAGCCTGAACCACAGGCATTTCCGAGGCTTTTGTGTCTGGGCTGGGGGGAGACAGGCGCTCCCACCCTGGCCAGCCCTGGTCGCTCCCCCATCTCCCGTCCGCGGACAGACGTTACCTCATCCCAGCCGTGAGCAGCGATACCCGCTGGGGCTGCCCCCCCTGCCGCGGGAAAGTCCAGCCCAGCCCAGCCGGCACCACCGCAGCAGCCTCGGCCCCGGGGCGGAGGGGCAGGGGCCAAGGCCAGGATGGGGCAGCTTCGAGGCAGACATGGGTGGTGCTGCCACCCCGGCCCCGGGGACCCGAGAGAAGCATCTTCTGTGGGGGCCGCAGGCTGGGGCTGGGGTGGGAGCCCAGCAGGGCTCAGCCCGGTGCACGATGGCAGGGATGGGTGTGTGGGTCCAGGCCGCCCCCTACCCCCTGCGTTGCCTGTAGTGCGGCCGGGCCTGCTCTCGCTCCAGCTGCCTCGGCCGGGCTGGGGGAGCTCCAGGCTCCTGGACTGGAGCCAAATGCTTCTCTGGCTCAACATGGACATAAAAGGAGCGAGCCAGATCCCGGCAGCGGCCCCCAGGCCCCTCCCCCCGGGCCAAGGCCCCCGCGATGCCGGCCCCGCCCCCTGCGCGCCCCAGCGCCGGAGCCTGCGGGGATGCTGGTGCTCACAGACCCCCGATCCCAGCCGGGCTGGGCCCGGGGGCCATGGCAGAGCCCAGCCCGGGAAAGCTCTCGGCTCCGAGCGCCGGAGAAGCCTGTGCCGGGCCTCCGGGTGGCCAGGACCCCCCGACCAGGCAGAGGAGCTGCCCCTCGCACACTCAGCCCAGCCCAGCCCTGCAGCCGCATCCTGCTCCAGGCCAGGCCCCCGCCCAGCCTTTCCTGGCTGGCAGGAGACAGGCCCAGGCAGCGCCCAGGGGGAAGCAGGGCCATGTCCCCGCAGGACCCCAGCCCTGCTGACGACTAGGGCGTATTTTTATCCTCTCTTGCCTGAGCTCAGCACTTCTCCCTGGCCCCCAGCGCCACCTCTGACAGCTGGGATGGGGCTGCAGGCCTGCCCCACCTGCCCCCGTCGCTCACACCGCGGCCAGCCCTGCACGCACCAGAGCACCTGCCCTGCCCCTGCCCCTGCCCCACAGCAAGGAGCACGAGTGCCTGGAGCACACGTCCCCACTGGCTGTCGGGGGGGTCCTGGGGCATTGCGTGGGCCCCACTGGCTGGGAGGCGCTGTACTAACGAGCTGAGGAAGGAAGCCTCAGCTACGCCTGTGAACGTGCCCACCCGGCACAGCCGCCTTCCTTGGCAGGGCCAGCTCCGGGCAGGGCAGAGCTGTGGCGGCTGG